GAAGGTTTTGAACTGAATTTTGCCACTTTAACCTGTTCTTAATTTAAACACCATTTTTATTTCTCAGTATTGATTCTACTCTGTTAATGCACTGTCAGATTATTTTTGGTATCATTTTGATGATGGCACCTGTACATGCAAGCATGCTTCATTCTACTTACCATCATCGAGGCCCCAGCCATGACCATGATGGTGGAACGGAGGCCATCTGAAATGTTCATTGTGACAGACTGGCTGACAAGTGATGTATCAGCTGACAACCTGTTGACCAGCTCACCTGTCTTGTTCTTGTCAAAGAATGCAACTTCTTGCTTCACAATGGAACCAAATAATGTCTGTCGCAGTGTCTGTGTAATGCGTTGTCCTGCTAAGACAAAGTGACTATCATCAGCAGTAGAAAATCATATTCTTCCTAGAGCCATTGCCACTTTACAGCAGGATTGTGTTGCACACAATATGCAGACTAATCATTCATTCAATAGTCCTGTACCTGAGACAGACATGAGGTACACACGCCCAAAGTTGCAGAGTCCTCCCACAACAAAGACTCCCAGAAGCACCACACTCAGCTCAGAAAGGTTCTCCCTCATCTTTTCAGAATCAGCGGTGTATATAATATCAATCACACGGCCAAGACAAAATGGAACAGCCATTGTTACAGAGCTTGAAACCAGTAGGAGACATATAGCACCTAGAACATGACACACAATGTTGCAACATAGCTAAAGCAGATCTTACCGAAACATATCTGCGGTCATCAAATTTTATATCTGAGATTCTTCTGATATGAGTACTCTACTCCATCCCTTCTTAACAGGCAGCTACAATTTGTTCAGAACAATTAGTGTTACTGACAAATGTTCAAATATCAAACTGGGAGAAATATAGAAAAGTTTTACTTTGTCAGGGCAGATTTAATTTTTGTATCTTCCATTTCTGAAACTGCTATCACTCTAAACTACCTTCTGGAGTATCTTACCAAATAACTTCCATTTCTCAGGTTTTGCTAAAGACAGTAATCTTCTTGCTTCTGACATGCTAAACACGATCTTCTTCTTGTTCTGAGTTTCCACAGACAGTGTTTTTACAGCAGTTGTTGAGAACAATTTAGATTTTACTGCAGTCCCCAAATGTGAAGCTCCAGAGCGGTACAAAGGCAAGTGGGTAATATAACCCCTCCTCAAGCAAAGCGTGCATATTAGTTTTGGTTTAGAGTGCTTCTCCATTATGAACGATCTTAGCATTTGCGATGATTTCACTAAAAGCCTCATTTTCACCCTTCTAAATGTTGACAGCACTGCAATGATAGTGAATAGGTTAAAATCGTCCGAGTGAAAAGTATAAATTTATCGTGACGTTGGTATCACAGATGACCACAACTGTACTATTGCACAATTGCTTATTAGAGAAACATTAATTAACGTAAATTAATGAGCTTTATAACAATGCATTCTCACACCTTACGTCTCACAACGCGAGTCCGGAGATAAAGCAACGAAACCCTTCCATGCATGTAACTGAAAAATCCAATGTAATGGAATACAAAACAAAAATAACAAATCCTTGTTAATTAATAGGTATTTATTCTATGCATGTTGGAAAATCACCATCAAAAATGTCATCTCATTTCCTCGTGACAATTTTCAAACCTTCGGTATAGTGGGAACTAGAGCTGAAACCTCTAGTTGATTTTCAATGGAACACGAAGAAAATTATATTAATTACCAACATACGTAATTTTCGGAAAACTACTAATTTCATCTCTTTTTTGATATTTTTATTCACCAAATGTTATGAATGTTAACGTAAAACATCTTTCTCCGTTCATTCTCTTACGGTACTCATCTATACAAACAAATGCAATTGGTGAACTGACGAACAGCTGCAACTAATCAGAATACGGATGCCAAAAATCCCGCGAAATTTCTCGCGTGGGTAAACAGAAGTAGGAAGGTTGTTTGCAGTTCAGTTCAGTGCGTGCCTTAGGTAACTTTTGTGAGTGTGTTAAATCAGGTACAATATATTTTTCTTTTCGTAGTATATACTTCAAAGATACTTGTTGTTATTTCTTGTAAACTTATGTGTTGAGGGCTTGCTTAGTTGGAATTCTGGATTGCTATCGTTACCAGTAGCTTGGTTCACGCGGGAAGGGTGCCTATTTAGTTAACTTTTGTGATTGAACTGGGCGTAGGACGTAACTGTTTTCACATTGAGTATAATTTTTAAACGATCATATGATTTATTTAAGGGTTAGGTGTGTGTCATAATGGATGACTGAAAGAATTAACTCAGCCATAATTATTCGACCTATAAAAACAAATCTACTTTTACTGTATGACCAAGTGCCAGGTCGCACATATGCCTCTAACGTAGTACCGACAGTATGGTGATATATCCGTTTGTTAAGTCTATCGCACGTCTAATGGGGTAGCTATGAGTATGGCAGGATGGAACAAAGATGGAATGACGATTGGTAGGAAAACTGAAGAACTCGGAAAAACGCGTGCTGTAGTGCCACTTCGTCTATCATGAATTGAGTTCACCCAGACTCTGTTCGTATGCCTGTTAGAGAAGTGGCTATTCTGAATGAGGTGTTTTAGTTTTTCTGAATACTTCCAGATAAATTAGGATATGTATACCATATACATAGCAATAACCTCTTCATTTTAAATCCCATCCAACTCACCATCATCACATCCCATTCTGTTCTTATTATTTCCTGCAGTTTATACATTTATTTAAATCTGTGAATCAGTGTTGGCAATAGCAGAACAGCAAAATCACCTTCATGTTCTGGGAACAACTTCATGAGACAATGAACATGTACACGCTCACAATATTAGGCATGCACTTATTATTTTTAACACAAACCACTGTAAGCAGCCTGTGGGTCCTACTTAAATTCATTAGTCTCAACAAAACTATAATGGTATGCCACATTACCAGGTTTCAGACAAGATGAATACCCCACCTCCAGAACAGCAGAACCGTCGCACCACCAGGAGTGCTCTTGCAGAAATACCCACACGGCTTGGCATGCTCAGTGTATCAGATAATGGCCGCCTGCCATCTGTTACAGCTATAGGTAATGTCAAAATATTGTGGTGTGTTTCATGCAGTAACAATACTTATACAGTTTTATTAAAAGGTTAGTACATACACAAAAATTTATGTTTGAATAAAATCTGTTGAGTTATTTAAATTGTTTAGTTTTTCTCATTATACAAATTAAACTTCTTATATTATTGGGTAATTATTAAATATTGCAAATATTCATTAAAATTGATTTAATAAGTATGCTGTTTTGGTATTATATTGTACCAAGTGTTGATATTCATACTACAACATGTTCCACATCCCTGGGTTGTGCTATGGAATGGAGTAAATTACCAGACATTCTGCTCTTCATAATTATTGGATTGATTATATGAAGAATGGTGAGGTGGACAGAGCATGTGGCACTGGTAAAATAAAATATGCATACAAAATTTTGATTGGGAAGCCTTATAGTAAAACCTAGGTATAGTGAAGAGGATAATACTGACATGTACCTTAGAGAAGTAGGTTGTGTGTACAGTAGCAGTTCTTTGTGAGAATGGTAATGACCATTCTGCATAATTTAAAAGCAAGGAATTTCTTGACCAGCTGAATACTGTGAACTGCTCATTAGTAATTACTGAACATTTGCATATTTTTAAGCATAATATAAACTTGTTTTAAAAAAATAATATTTTAGGTCTGCTTTTGTTTGTTACAGGAATTTCACCACTAGTTTCATAATACTGCTAGCCATTTATATCGGGAAAGATGCATGTATGTCACAAATTGGAGAAACATGGAATGCATGCAACTTTTTTTGTTGTGCCATCATGGAATACAGAGACTTCGAATGAAAATATCAGAGAGGCAAATGTTAGCATTTTGGATAGGGCCATTATAATAATTTCAATCCATGTTCATATATCCATATTTCAGTGCCAAATTCCAATGTTGGAGGGCTGTGGAATGTGAGCTTGAACCTGCCATCATCATATATAAGCCCATCACCATCACCAGATGAGATGGTGATACAGCAGCGTGGGCGTCGTCATGTGCCTGCCACATGGAGCCCTGATATAGAACAGAACAAACAGAATGGAGTGTCAACCCGTGATCGCACACCTGTTAAAGCCAGTCCTGTGAAGAGCACAATTGTACTGCGAAGCACTCCTCGTAAACGATTGCTTCTCACTGACCCAAAAGAACTCTTTCCAACACCTGAGAAGTGCCGCAAGGTAAGGATCTTCAAAACAGGGATGATCGTAGATCTAATAAAATCTAGTTAGATTTAGAAGAAAAAGAGAGAAATTAAAAAAGGCATCATTGTACATAAATTAATGAGCTTTAATGTTCTGGCTTTCATATAAGCAAGCTCAGAAAGTGTATTCTGGACCAGAATACACATAATATCCTCATGTGTTCTTTGCAATGTGTATTTAGAAGTATTAAATCCACCTTGTTCAGTTGTTTCCACTTTTGCCACCAGATTGCATCACCTCAGTATCTACTTCGTGAAATTCCTCATCCATCCTTTTGTTATCACCACTCATTATATTTGAAAGTATAATTTTAAGGTTGTGCAGAGTAGCACAACCTCGACATCAAATTTCATCCAAATTTGTCTAATGGTTCTCAAGCTGAATCGAGTGGATGGATAGACAATTACACACGACCAGCCCATAATGCATTCTCACTATGCAGCTGTACGGTCAGGATCTCAGTTTGATGAATTCCAGAAAAGAAAATGGCTGTTTGCCTTAAATGGAAAGCTGGATTGTAAAAGATGTACCAGTAATAAATATGTTTCCATTTTAAAAGGTTTCTGTACAGTAGGTGTGAATAGTGCTTCTCAGTGGGCTAATTTCATCTTACAGAGAAAAAAAGAAAATTGAGTTCTGATCACTTTGAAAAAAGTAGAACACAAATCACATTCGAGCCACAAACATTTTAGAAACAACTAAGATACGTTACTAAACATTAATGCAGAATTGATGGCAGTCTTCTGGTGTGATGCTGTGTTCTGTTGCTACCCACTTACAAGATCATGCAGCATTGTAACCCAGACCACCAACACCATCTTCACTGTCACGAGGACCTCATATTTTAAATTAATGCAGAGGGTAAAGTGAAGGCATTAAACCATTGTTATGTGTTTAGGACGGTCTGTTATATTGAGAAAATAAAATCCTATTCTGACTACTTGCAAAAGAAGTTGAATCTTGATGGTGTAATTCTGCTTGTTGATACTGTAGAATATGATCACACATCAAGATAATTTATTTGGAAAATAACACCAAATCCAAGATGGCCATATTTGTTAAAATGTAATACTCACTGTTGATACACTGGCAATGAGCAATAATGATTGCAAATGGGATTTTAGCATTATGAATTATATTCTAACATATAAGCAATGTTTTGTAACCTCTCATGTAGCAAATCTTTTTGTTGGTTGCATAATCAAATGAGAGCACAGCTTGAAGGAAGAAGGAATGAGATTACACTTACTATTTAGAGGTGTGGAAGTGTTCATGATTTTTTAATAAATTGCCCTTTGATTAAATACTGTTTTTGGAATTGAAATAAAATTCTTGTGTGTGAAATTTATATATTTTAAAATTCAGCTAAGCCACATTTGTTTGCTAAATGGATACAATTTTAATCCAACACATCACAAATATCATAATGTTCATTATTAAAAGATAGCATATCAGTCGTTCATACTTCTGCCACTGGTGCTAGTATCTAATTAATCTCATTGTTCTTCATTTAAATCCTCTCAAATATTACATGAATAGTACAAACTAAGAAGATTCTTGTTTTGTTAATTTCTTTTTCTATTATTACAGGGAACAGCATCTCATTCTGTTATTATGCCCATTGATTATGAAGACAGTTTTCATTGTTCCATGACCTGACTAGTTTTCTTCTGTATTTATACACATAGATGTCACCGAACTCTAAGAAGTGTCGTACTGAAAAGCCATCATCACATTCCTCCAATCCCCTACAGGCTGCACTGAAAGGCTTGTCTCAGGACCAGCTGATTGACATAATCCAACAACTTGTGGACAAGCACCCAGGCTTTGGAGAAGTAAGTGTGTTTGTTGCTGTAATTTCAAGTTATTCTTGTAATTCAATAAGTACGATAGTCACTTTGTTTTGGCAGGAAATCAAGGAAAGTCTGCCTGCACCAGATATCCGACCACTAGAGGAGCGACTGAGTTACCTCAAGAAGAACATCTTCAAGTCGCTGCCAAACTCAAGACTCACTTCCAAGACAGACTCACCTGCATACAGCAGGGCTGCCACACATGTCCTGGCCTTCAAGGTAGTGTGACGGACTGTAGACACACTTAAAATGTGAACTTGCCTCAACCATCTGTGTTTGAGATTTTCTTTCTGCTGAGCAACACAGCATGGGAATAAATTGTTTTTACCCACCTACGAGGCAAAACTTGTTCCCAGTGGCAAATTTGGAGGAAGAATAATTGTAGTACAGGTAACCCTCGATTTATGCCAGGGATGTGTTCCTGGACGAACCGGCGTAATCGGAATCGGCATAAATTGGAACGATTTTATAACAAATCAATGGGAAGTCAATGACATGCGTTCCCAGCACCCAAACATTGACGAGTGATATAATGACATTACATTTAAAACTCTGAAATAACGTAAATAAAATAAAGGGAATTTAAAAAATATATTTTATACACTTACAATCGGTGATGGCATGATGAAGCAGCGTTAGTTCTCTGACGAAGTCCCTGGTTGAGGATCGTCGTGTTTTTTTAAAGAGGGCATGTAGTGTGGACTGTCGTGATTTCTTCTTTCTTTCTTTCTTTCTTTCAAAATTTCATGATAAGGCCTCATGGATGCCATAACGCTCCTCTTTGCTGTAGCACTCCGCTCCCAGTCGTGGTCTATCTCGCAGAGCTCATCAGTGAGTTTTTCTATGTCTGAGAGGATGCGCTGGAGATCTCTTGTCTTAATTTCTCGTAGAGGAAGTTCTTCCTCTCTTTCCTCCTCTTCCTTTATGCACAGTTGTGTGGCCAATTCTTCTACATCTTCATTGGAAAGAGGCTGCCCATGGCTTTCCAAAAGTTCTGTTATATCTTCATCTGTCACTTCGTTCAAGCCCACTTCTTGCGCTAGTCTTCTTATGTCATCTATGACATTCTCCACTGGTTGGAATCCTGCGAAGAAAACAAATTCTGGCAGAAGTTTGCCCCACACTCCATTCAAACAATTCACTGATATTTCCTCCCAGGCTGCGTTGATGTTATTAATGCCCTTCAAAATGTCGAATGAGCGCCAATAATCCTTTACGGTTTTGTCTGAACTTTCCAAAACTCTCAGCATTTCTTCGAAGGTGTTGCGGAGATAATAGGCTTTAAAGGTCGCTATTACACCTTGGTTCATTGGTTGCAAAACTGAAGTGGTGTTAGGAGGCAGGAAAACGACGTTGACATCCAGAGGAGTTCTGACTTCTGCTAGGTTTATCGGATGGCTAGGGGCATTGTCCAAGAGAAGAAGGGCCTTGGTTGGCAAGTCATTCTCATGACAAAAACGGAGCACAATTGGGCAAAAATAGTTGATGTACCAATCCAAGAAGAATTGTTGTGTCACCCAAGCCTTTCTATTTGACTTCCAGTAGACTGGCAACATGGCTTTGTTGAGGCCTTTGAAAGAGCGAGGTGTCTCTGAATGGTACACCAACATTGGCTTTAATTTTAAAGTGCCAGAGGCATTGGCACCCAACAAAAGCGTTACCCTGTCTTTTGCAGCCTTGAAACCTGATGCAGACTGCTCTTCACGGGCGATGAAAGTTCGTGAAGGCAGTTTCTTCCAATACAGGCCTGTCTCATCAACATTAAAAATGAGATCAGGAGGATAATCACCCTTCTCCACAATGGCCTGAAACTCTGCAGGATACGCTGCTTCTGCACTTAATGCTTCGCCACTTATTTTCACACTGTGACTTTTGGTGCGGGATTTGAATCGCATAAACCAGCCCTTGCTTCCTAAGAATGTCTCTTTACTATCCTCTTTTATCTTAAGTTCCTCAAAAATTGACTTCGCCTTATCCATGATAGCAATTTGAGTCAAGGGAATGTTTTTTTGATTCATGTCATCCACCCATAGTGACAGTAATTTCTCCATTCTTTCTAAAAGTTTACTTCTGCTATAACTCACTTGCGTTGCACTTACTCTCGTAGCCTGTTGCATTGACTGTTTTATTTTATCTGAATTTTTCATTATGGTAGTCACAGTGGAAGGAGGCAACTTCATACTTCTGCACACATTAGGACGGCTATCACCACCTTCTATTCTACGAATTACGTCCATCTTATCTCCTAATGTAATAGACCTACGCAACTTTTTAGCAACACATTCACTTCTCTTACCAGACATGGTGGCTCTTCTACAATTTATAAATATAAGACAGTTGCTACTGCAGAATAGTGGTCGAACATCAACACAAACACGTTTAGCTCACAGTTTTCAGCACATTCAATGCGTGAACAAAAAGCAAACTGAGCGCGTTTTATCTGGCCTTTACGTCTCACCCTCCTTCCACTCCTTTCCATTCCAGACACCCAGATGGGAAAACCCTCTTGAGGGGCGAGTGGAAAGGGAACCAAAAACACTTACTGCAACATGTCTGTCTTTGCCGTTGAAATGAACGGTATGTAACAGCTGCACCTACAAATTACTGCTGGTCACAAGAAAACAAACTCCAGCAAAATATTTTCTTAGTATTCAAGTTTAAGATTACCTTTTATTGCCATTGCGATTCATTGTTCATTCAGATTCCCAAGTATGAAGAAATCTCTTCTTATATTCGGGTAATTACAGTATTTTTATTCTTTGGCATTCTTCCATCACAGTACATTGGGTCCACACATTTCTTTGTCACACAACTGTATCTTTTTAGTATACCTGAAAACCACAATTTAAGATTGACATCATATTCAGTTGCGGACATGAATCTGCATAGCAAGAATTCCTTTTGCGTCAAATGGAAACAAGAACAAAGTGCTATGGCAATTAAAAACTGTCTTTGTGATTAAAAACACTGTATTTCATTCTCTGCACATACTCCACAGATTTCAGTGGAATTTGGTACGGTTTTAATTTGGCAGATTTTATTTTGGACCATATTGGTCCACATTAACTCCTGCTCATTGTTCAAATTGAACATAAAATCGTTCAGAAACAATTGATTACAAAAATGTATGCATCATGTAAAATAGGTATCTTTTGTTTGAAATAATTTTTTATAAACGTATTTAATTAAGTACAGGTAGCCCTCGATTTACGCCGGGGATGCGTTTCCGGACGAAAAGGCGTAAACGGAATCGGCGTAAATTTAAACTCTTTTATAATGTAAATCAATGGGAAGTCAATGAAGTGCGTTCCCAGCACCCAAACATTGACGAGTAATATAATGGCATTACATTTAAAGCTCTGAAATAACGTAAATAAAATAAAGGGAATTTAAAAAATATATTTTATACACTTACAATCGGCAATTCGTTGGTCCCCGCGAATGACTGCGATTATTTCATGTGACTGGTGTGTACAGTCATCACCGCTGTTATGCGATAGTTACGTTCGTGTAAGACGCCGACCTATAGAAAATCGCGTAGTAAAAATAACCCCGGGACCTCCGCAGAGATTAAATTAGTCCTTTGAAAGTTTAAAGCGTCAGGAATGAAACTGCATAAGAGCAAACTCGCATATGCAAAAGTTTGCATTTCACAAACAGCTTTTACCAATTCATCGATCTCATTGGAGCAAATTCGCGTTAACGAAACATACGTAATTGCAGAGATGACTGTATTTATAATTTTTATTCAAAATCTGCGACGTAAAAATTACGATTTAATATAAGAATCAGTACGAGAAACATTGTAAAACGATATAAATAGTAAAAAAAATTCGTTTTTTGACTTTCTGGTTTCAAAATCGGCGTTATTCTGAATCGGCGCAAATTGGACCGGCGCAAATCGAGGGCTAACTGTATACTATAGTTCGCGACTGTATTCTTGAGAAGTGGGGTGAAGGAGGAAAGATAGTGTCTTCCTTTAACGCTTTGGACTTCCTGCATTCCTTGCAAGTCTCAAGATTACAGTCGCGAACAGTAGAGGGAAACAGATACGTTTGCGTCCACTTCTGCTTAGCTTACTTATCAGCAAATCATGTGAATGATACAAAATTGATTGTGTGCATTCCAGACTGGAGGTTTATACATACTGTTATTGTCATGTTGGCAGAAATGTGTGCTAGAACAGGGGCGCCTACTAGTGGAGAGTCAGCACTGGGGCAGTGTCCTGGAGTATGTCTTCTTGGCATGGACATATGTACGTGCCACTCCTCTGTGGGACAACCCTCCACATAATGCAGCACGACGGCAGTGCTTCAAAAGCCTTGCAGCCCAATGCATGACTGCACTCAAGAAGGGAATATGGAGCACTGAACAATGTGATAGTTTCCAGGAGAAGTGAGTATTTCTGTGGTTCGAGGCTCAACTGGTTCACCTACTTTCCGAGGTCCATTTTTGGGATGTTCGTAATGAAACTTTCCAAAAATACACCTGTTAATTTTGCCATGTCTTTCTGTCTGTCCACATGTAACATTTCAACAAACCACTGAATGGATTTTTATGAAATTAGATACTGGGGAGTTTCACTTTCCTTTCTTTCCCACATCCCAGTTATGGTTAAAATAGGACAATAATAATGGACATCTTACTTGAAGATCTGTGTGTGTCTGTGGTGTAACCTGTTAAATATTTATCAAAGTAAAAATATGTAGAGCAGTAGTCCCCAACCTTTTTGTGCCTACGGGCACATTTGAGAGTTAATGAGATCGTGGCGGGCACCAACCAATTAACAAAGCCAAATTTTCTTTTCTCTGGACAAATAAGTTATGGACACCAAATAATACGCAAAACAACATGACGTTTAATGATACAAGAAACCATGCAATCAAAAATACGTAGTTTTATAAGTACAATGATTATTATTCAAGTGGGAAGTTAGCGTGATGTTTGGCGCTGCATTTCATCGGCCAGTTTTTCAAATTTGGGAGTGTAGGATGATGTTGCTGCTCGCAAACAATCGTCAAGATGGATGTCGGTAAGTAGAGATCTGCGCTTTGATTTTATAATGTTCATGGTTTAACGGCCTTCATTATTCAGCATAACCTCTTTACGTAACAACGCGGGTGCCGCTGGGGACCACTGATGTACAGCATACTCATATCAGTTTTTTGGACTCTTTCAATTATAATTATGCTTCCTCAACACCGTCATCAGTAACATTTTGGGACGAAATGTAGAGCTTAATTGTTCTGTATATTACAGGTTAGAGAGGTGCGCCCCTGACAGTGAGGATATCCAGGCCTGCATTAAGCAGTTAAGTGTGCTCCGTAAGAAGTTATGAGTGAGGTGCTCTTCGTCTTTTAATCTTGCTGAAAGATTATTTTTTTACATGTAGAGTCTGATTTTGTGAGCATGATGTATTATTTGAGTATTTATGTTTGTGTGAACTGTGTTTTAATGCAAGTTTTATCATGATGACTCCTGTATGATGTGTTACATTTTGTAAGAAAACTGACCATTAAATAAAGTAATGTTTTACTGGGATGCAACTTCTGTTTTAATTAAGAAGTGTCCATAATTGACAACTTGTATAATCATTTGTAGTTGGCACAGATAAGTTGCTTTATATTAAGACTATGAATTCAAAAATGCTGAAGGTAACAAATATCAGATATTAGAAGTTTCTGTATGTAGTATAACTAATGTTCATCATCAGTTTCATTTTCTGTTTCCCTCTGACCTTTCACATACGTATATTCTTAACATTGTTGAGTGATGATAGCGTACAGTTATTCTTCACAAGATAAAACCACTTTTTAATATACAGGGTTAGTCAGAAGTATGTTTACAAACTTCGTGTGTGTGTTCCAGGATCAAAAATAAGAAAAAATGTTCCTATGAACATGGGGTCGCAAATGTTTCATTTTCGAAATAATAGCCAAAAATAATTTTCAATGTATGTCGTTATATCCAAATATAAGGACAGGGATGTTTCTTTATAAAATGCTCAAAGGTTGATCCTCCATTCTCCACACATGCCCGAGCATGACGCACACAAGACTGACGTATTCATTCGTACACACCAGGGTTTCCTCGAATCATCTGACATGCTTTCTGCACACATTCCCATAGGTCGTCATCATTGTTTATGGGTGTTGCATAAACAACAGACTTCAAGTGACCCCACAGATAAAAGTCCAATGGAGTCAGGTCCGGTGACCTCGGTGGCCATGCTACTGGGCCACCACGCCCAATCCATCGCTGAGGGAACTGTTCATCGAGATGATATCTGTGCTGGGGCTCCATTCTGCATAAACCACATTTGTCTTCTTGTATTCAGTGGTACATCTTCAAGGAGATGTGGGAAGTGTCTTCTTAAAAATTGCTTATATGAAGGTACTCTTAGACGTGATGGAAGCATGTGTGGACCAATAAGCATGTCGCCAACAATTTCTGCCCAAATGTTAACTGAAAATCTTTGCTAGAAGCTGGATTCACTTTGATACAAAGTCAATTCATTGAAACTTATTTTTGGCTATTATTTCGAAAATGAAACATTTAAAACCCCATGTTCATAGGAACATTTTTTCTTATTTTTGATCCTGGAACACGCACATGAAGTTTGTAAACATACTTCTGACTCATCCTTAATAGCATATGTGCAGTACAACAGATTTTTGTCTTGACAGGAAGCATTTTCATCCTGTTTCAATTCCTGGAGATGTTTACCAAGGTTTGTGAGAGCCTGTTTGCTCATTTTATAACTGGATTATCACCTTTTGCAATTTCTACATATCTTTAATTTCTTGTGCCAAATCGACATATTAATTTTTTCAGTGGTTTTTTTGAACAGTACTACTTAATGGAATTTCCTTATGAATCATGCATCTTTTTTTTCTTATTGTAAACCAATATATGTGGTTTCTTGCATGTAATGTTTTGGTCCAAGTATTGTTTATATTGTTTTCATAATGTAGTCAATGTGTTAGTATATCTTTACTTCATTTAGTAATTTACACTTTACTACAATCTCTTGATGTACTGTTAATTATTAATGTAACCGCCCACCACATTTATGAAGAGGATATAAAGTTATTTTTGCACACACAGTTGCCTCCGTTACTTTGACACAATAGTTGTCATTTTTATGCTGCATTCTACCTCCACTCATCTCCTCTCCAAAAGGAAAGATCAAATTCTGTGCCAAAAACTTTACGGCTCACTGATATGCATTACTTTGCATTGTTTATGCTGCAGTCTCCTCCAGCTTACCTATTATCATTCCAATGGGCTCATTGTCTCTGATATGAAACAATTTGTAAGTAGAGTCAGTTTCATGTGTAAAATGTGACTTCATCTCATGTACTTGTTTGTAGTTGGTTATAGGATCAGACACTATAAGGCAATTCTTTGTTGCTTACAATTGTAAACATAAAACAGATTATTTTCTTTTTTGGAAAGAACTTGTTACTAAATAAACATTCCGGCAATTTTATATTTGTCTAACATAACCTTAAATTTCGAAACACAAACAGGCCTACAACAATTTTTAAGATTAAACAGATATATACATTTATAAAGATACAGACAAGTAACACACAGATTAACGATGGATTACAAAACTGCCCCGAGAACACGTGTCAGTTCTCTACCCTCTTTCAAATCCAGAAAACGAGTCAACAAAAGCCGAGAAGACCGTGGCGCACTCTGACGGGAAAAACGTAAGGTTAAGAACAGGATGACACAACAGAAAGAAGAAAAGACTCAAAGAATCCCACGAGAAGTTTCAAAAATTCTAACACCTTCTCAAATGTATGTCCCGATAATACAAGTTGAAGAAATAAAATCCTCATAGCAATATGGTTGGGTAACTTCCTACACTGAAACACGCGCGTATCGACACGGCGTGTGTTTACCGACTATGAAAATATTTCCGAAGCCTGAAACTGATTAAGAAGACCGGCTTGTGAAACACGGACTTTGGAACAATCAGAGGTAATATGAACGATCAAAAGAACGGGACTTCCGGATGGAGTCTTCGGAACGCTTGATTTGATGGTTCTGAAACTCTTCCATTGCCGACATTAAGTAGGTAATGTCCACAGACAATTCGTCTTGCGAGGCGGTATTGGACTGGTCTAAAATTTTCCTGTCAACAAGGTTACGAGTCCTGTAAGTCAAATGGCGTACGCGTGTCATAATCCTGACATATTGATTAGGCGTGATGTCAGCCCAAACGTCTGCTACTACTTCTTGAATCTCGTTAAATTTATTACGTAAGGTTCGCAACTCACCCTGAGGTTCGTTAGAGTCCAAGGCCGAGGTATGAATCTCGCTGCCTGCCTCCCTTATCGTAATCTCGTATATCAGCTCATCCTTCATAAGGTAGTTCGGATTCGGAAAGGCTCGATCATTCATAACAATAAAAAACAGCAGACACGGATTAACAACAATTTCACAACAAACAGTTCAAAAGGAAAAAATGCAAGTACAATAACAGAATATCGTGAGTTAGATTGGATCACAAAACCACGCTCTCTGCTACAAGTTGAAACACACACAGGCCCACAACCCTTTTTATGATTATTTATTAACAACTTATAAATTAGAAAGATATATACATAGATACAAATAAGAACCACACAGATGAATGATGGATTACAAACCGGCCACAGGAACCCGTGTCGGTTCTCTGCTCCTTTCAAATCCAGGAGAAGACCCAACCCCGAAGCAACTTAAGTTGGAAGAAATGTAAGAGAATTCAAACATCCGGCCACTGTCTAGAAAAAGAGACTGAATCACACCGGCCCCTTTACAACATAGCAAAGCCGGAGAGGACCAGGGCGCACTCTGACGCGAGAATGGCATGGTTAAGAACAGGGTGGCACAAAGGAAACGTCACATTTTATTGTCATTGCTAGACTGAAGGTAAATAAACATTTAAACAGACCACCGATTTTATATACTGGTAAAAATATGTAACATCCATGTCCCTATATTAAGTGGTACTAATGTCACTCTGAACTCATAAATTGTTATAATTTGATTGAAGCAAATTAAAAAAGTATGGGCTTGGGGGTAGCCTGCAGTGGCACAATGTTTTTACCAAGTGTAATGAAAATCAATTTACTGGTTCAAAATTTAAAAGGGGAAACACAACATGGTGATCTCGTAAGACTTCTTTTTTTTATAAGAAAGCAAAGTAGGCTGAAAAGAGCATTCACTATCGAAGTACTTGTCACAGTGCCATATCAGTATCACTTAAAAGACCTATGAAAGGAAAAATGTAAGTGCCGCTGTTATGCAACAATTCATCACAGGAGTAAATAAAATATTTTAACCACATTATGTCTGCTAGTAGATCAAGGTTAAATGTGGAGTATCTATTCATTGTGTTGTCATTTCTAAGTCACTAATTGTTGTTACTAAGTTCACGAGTTTTTCTTTTTTTGGTGTTAAACTTAATTTCTCACTGTTATGGAAGTCAGTGAATGAAGGCTGTTTGAGAACAGGGTTCAGAAGAAAATAAGATGAAGTAACAGTACAGAAATATGATTTGCACATCATTCATACCATCTACAATAAATTTTGACATTTAGAACGCATCCAGTTCGATCTTACCCGAGGATAAGCTATTCTGTCCTGACGGTTTTCGACAATTTACTTACACAATTTTTTGGTGGAATTGAAAATTAAACATGGTTCGATTGTTTTCAAACTACATCACTAGCTAGTCTCCCTGGCGTTTCCACATAACCTCTACAGCAAATAACATCATAGTACACTCTAACAAAAGGATGTGTTACGCCGATAGCAGACAACTGCTAGAAACTCCCTGCGGATTGGGTCCACCATGCGTAGTGCGCGTGTGCGCCGAGCGGCCGACTGGACGATCTTTGGGACAGCAACCATTGTTACCGTCAGTTGATGGTGTGTTTCTTGCAATGTGGCAGGTACCATGAGTTCGAGTCCTTTGGATCTGCAAGGAGAGTTACAGGTACGGCTTTTTGTGGCGTACGATTAGAGTGCAAGACTTGGGAGAGGCCAGTCGAGCAGATATTGATCTGCACCTCTCTCTTCTTAAAGAGGCACTTCCAAAATACCGTACAAATAGTTATTTTCGTATTCAGAGATTCAAAGAAATCGAGCAAACGACGTTATTTTTCTAAATGAGATGCTTTAAGAAATTATATATAAGTTGTTGAGGGGCATTTCAGAGATTTTTTATCTTCTTAAAATTTTGATCAGAGTACCATCACAGTCTTATATTAATTTTATTCTGGATGTTGAACATTTCAGTTTCCTGTATACAGCTAACGTGTTGAATTTTATGGCCCCGAACAGAAACAATTCTTGATTCAATTTTGAAACTAAATTTATAGCCGATTACATGTCGACGTGCCTGTGCATTTAATGTTATTTTAGCGGTGTGGAAGGTTCGTCTTTAGAGACGGGATATGTAATGTGGGTTGCATGAGCAGCACTGCGAACTTGGCCAGCACAGCAAATATTGATTTGTTTTTGTCATTCGCTTCTTCAATAAGGAAATTAATAACGCCTCGTAGCTCACGGCACGCATGGTAGAGCAGAAACTGCAGAATTACGTATGACGCATTCTCCACGAGGTCAGCTGACAGTACAGCGTGTTTATTTTTGCTGCAGGGTGAAAATGTAACGCTTGTAGGGCGAAGGTCTCTTAAATTACACTCCACGTTAGCGATTGAGGCATGTGGTACATATCGTTACATCATCCCTACAGACAGTGAAGACTGTATGTCTGTGACCTTACATGAAGGACATGATATTCTTTAACATTGTTAGGTTCGTTTAGGTCACATTTCACATGTGATGGGATGTCATGAGGGTCATTTTATGTTGGCCAATCTGTATCCAAATCAACAGTTCAGGATGATAAAAAGATTTTGTATGGCCACAATCACTAAACGAGGTTTGTTAACTAATTATCCATAGATGAAATAAAACAAAAAAATTACGATGTTGGATAGTTTTATCCAATTAGTTATGTAATTGACATGTTCTATTAGATATTTCCAAAATTGATATCAACATGAAGTCATGTGAACAGGAGTGTTCAAGATCACTGTGCTAGTCTCGTTAACACTCAATTTCCAAAATTTTCACATTCCCTATCTTGTAATTTGACTAACACTTTATGAACAATAACAGAACTTTCAATTTAATGATAGCTGATGAACTGTTATAGCTGGATATGTAATATTTCATATGATGGTGATACCTTTAAATATTTTACAAATTATATATGAATTTTTTGTACAAGTTGATAGAAGAAACAAAAACCAACCTGGACTTGGTCAGGTACAACCCACCATATGTACTTTTCAATTTAGAACTAGTAATTTTGGACTTAACTAGAAGGGAAAAACATTATTGCTGTCAGCAAAAGATTCCACATTAATTAAAATACAGAACCATTAAAATGTATGTGTAAATGGCTAAACACCTGCTCTTTTGGAAACTGAAAATTCATTCATAGCTGTATTTACAAATTTAATTGTAACACCAAATCTTAAATTAGTTAAATCCATTTCACACTAACTAGCTCCATAATGCCATATTTCTTGTGAAGTTTTTAGATGCTTTGCTGATCAAGAAAATGTTTATTACTCACTTATAGCTTATTTAGTGGCACAATCAGCTCAGGATATAGAACCATCTTTTACAGAACCCAGTCACTGTTTCTGACTATTCTGAATAGCAGATGCATCAAACAAATACCAATCTATTTAGACTTTATAGTAAGGTTCATATAAACAAATCTTTATTTATCCTTATTATTTATTATATATATATTTATTATCCAATTATATCCTTAATTGAATTATATAACAAATTAGATAAATAAATACAAATTTTAATTTCCTTATGAGAAATAACAATTGAAATGGACCTGAACCAAGCAGCACAGGATGGGACATAGTGGCAGACCTTTGTGAATTTTAAGCATACTACAAAAGTAGGGAATATCTAAACCAGTTGATAATATAACATCTACCCAGAAAAGACCCTACACCATTTAAGTACTTCATTTAGTCAAACAAATTTGTGTTACCGTTTTCTCCCTCCAGCGGCCTGTGCAACAGACAGTATGTGGAGCAGTACTGCGGGATTCAAACTGGAAATGCCTCATCCTCACGCTGCTCATATATGGCTGTCTTGGTGCTATCACCTGGTGTCGGCTCACTGAGGTCAGCAAGGTCAGCACAGTGCATCCGTCCCTATGTTCGTCAGTCTGTCCGCCAGTATGTATATAGTCTGGTTGTTTGTAGCATGTGTAATGAGATTAGTCTAGAAGTTGGGTTTCTTTATGGAGATGTATTAACTACGCAGGCTATGTAATATTTTGGCATTTGCCTGGAAGTGAACCAGAGTCAGAATAGGCAAATCTCTGGATATGAATCAGACTGTATCAACATGTTTGTTCGCATGATTTTTCTCTGTATGAGGATACCATGTCGTGCCAAAGATGCTTTTGTGATATTTTGTGCAGCAGTATGCAGATGACTCTCTGGGACTGTCCAAGGGAAATTCATCATGGAATGTATTTTCACCTTCTTCATTTCTGCACGATTTTTTGACAGTCGGGTCTCCTTGACCATTATGTCTGCTTTCTTCTTACAGCGAAAGTAAGTGGCCGTGTTGTATCACTCAGCGAGTCATGCTTTGCACACAAAGATTACAAGAATTGCAATTCAGTAGTGTATATTGTTTTGCATTGTACCTGGTGTGTCATTGTATCTATGTATCATTGCATGGAACTGCATATCTGAGACTCCTCCTTCACAAAGGAGATTTGCATTGCATACAGAATTTTTTGACATGTGCGCTACGCCACAGGGAGTGAGAATGTATACACTCTAAACTAAAAGCATTCACCACTTGTCATTTCTGCTCTTCTGTTACTGCAGGTAAAGTGAGAATTGTTTTGTTAACGAAGGGTAGTGGTAACAATGGTGCATGAATAAAAGCGACCAACTGCACTCAATGCCGATGTTACTGATGAGTCGTGTTAGGCCATTTCAAATGTACATTGTTTACAGTAGCCCTAAAGACAACAGTCCTCTTCATTGCACCAGAGTTATTAACTTTCTTTTGTCCATTGTTGGTATAACTGTGCCTGAAGAGATTATTATAAGAATACTGTCTACTGCAGCAAACCACTATTCAAATTATATGTGAAAATTGATGACTGTCATTTTCTGCATGTCTGACAACGCACACTACAAATTATTTATTGATTGTAGGGTTTTCTGGCATATCACCATGTCAGAATGTTATAATTGCAAACAATTTGGAAGAACTTACTATCCCCTACTTCAGGTTGAAGATGAAGGATAGAGTGAATATGGACTGCAATGAAAACCTCATAGCTGATATAATATACTGAAATAAATTACTTATCACTGCCTTACATCCCTGGCTACTTCATACTGGGCCATACAGTGCAAAGCCAAAGTGAAAGCTCAGAATTCAGGTTTTGAAAGATTTTATATATAGTAATGAATATATCACAATTGAGCGTTTCAAACACTCTGCAGGTGATCATCAACTTCTCGGGCTACCCCATTACCAGCAAGGTGCAGATGTCACCATGTGACAAGGGCTATGTGTACATCCCAGTAGCATTCATGCTTATGCTGTATCTGGTGTACTTGGTGGAGTGCTGGCACTGCACTGCACGCGAGGAGCTCAGCAACAAGGTGCACATTACGAGCGTCATGGAGACAATAAGGCTCATGCGGGAGGCCCAGCCCATTGTCTGGTGGAAAGCGCTCTGCTACCACTATGTGCGCCGCAAACGACAGGTCGTGCATACGCAGAGAGGAAGTGAATCGTACACAACCACACAGGTGTATTATGAACGTGTGAACTCACATGCTGCAGGCACCTGTTTCCTGTTTGCTTACTGTGGTATGCGAGACATCTCACACGACCTGTCATTGGAGGGTGGACCCATCACTAAAATACGCTTCAGTAAGGGTGAGTGTTAATGTTGGCAGTTTTTCCAGTCTGAGTAGTAAATTTCGATATAATTTCCATTCTCTGTGGGTGATTCCTGGCATAATGCCTCCCTTAAGGGGCACTGTTTTCCCTCAGGTGAATGTTGGTAGTCTCTTATCTGAGGGTTGCGTGCTGACACAGTCTTCTCTCTAAGAGATGAGTGCTGCCAGTCTTTCCTCTGAGAGGTTAATATTGATATTGTCTCCTTTCTAAGAAGTGTATTCAGAGTACTTACAGCTCTAATTTCACTCAGGGTTTGCTTTTGCCAATGTGGAGGCTGCTGCTGAATTTGAAGACCAGCGAGCACACTTCTTTGCAGAACATGAGCGATATGACGACTACATGGAAATGAGAGAGGGACTGGACCTCATGGGAGTCTCAAATTTCAAGGAGCATGTTGTGGCATATGCAAACTTGCCATGGTACTCAAACCATGTGGTATTTTGGATCTGCAGTTTCCTGTTGCTTTCATGGCCAATCAGAATCATCTTGGAATATAACACTGCATATGTTCATTATCAGGTAACTTTGAACTCTTCTGATTACATACTGTTTTGTTGTTCATGATTAGCCTTAGAAATGTGCATTCTGATGAGGACTGGGATCTGTTTCTCTGCAGGCTGCACTCATGTGGTTTTCACTGTCAGAAAGCTGTTCCTTTTATGCACACATGAAAATATTCCATACTGGAACTGTGATTATGTTAATAATTTGCAGGCATGACAAATTTAATGTGCCAGCTATTCAGTAAATGAACATCTACTCCATATGGGTGTAAAGTTTTCTCTTCAGTATTGATTTGTTTAGGCGTAAGTGTTTATAATTGATCCATCCATCACTTTAGAAGTCTGTTTAATCCATTTTTCCTTTAAGTTTTCACTGTAATGGTTGTTTCATCTTCCATTCTTTGAATGTGATCAATCCAGTAGCTATCCTTTTTTGTACACATTTAGTTTGTTTATATTTATGAAGTCTTTAAGGAGCTACATGCACAAAAATCGACATAATTAAATTACCTACTTTACGGTTTGTGGGCCTTATTTTGTTAAAATGGTGATATTTTAAAAAGCTTAAACATATTGTTTAAAGAAAAGATTTATAGACACATTTTACCAAAGAAAATCCATTAATGTTATGTTTAGCACTTTAAAATATAAGGAAAATGTAAGCTGTTATGACGACTTAGCAAAAATAAAAATTCATCTCACCTAGTGAAACTTGCAAAGCTGCAATCTTTCCTTGCAGGATGATAATGAATTCTTCATTGCTGAGTTTGTTTCTGTAATATCTTGCCTTCAGTCACATACCAAAACAATCTTGTTCCTATATTTATGTGCTTAGTCACTGACTGAGTCATTAAGTTAATCACAGTTTTCAGTGTCACATGAATATGCCCTAAACGAAAGGCCACTGTGAATGAGATTTGCATTAATGCAGTTTTGTGTGATACAATGTGAAAAACTGACCTCAGAGACATAAGGAGCACGCTTTACAATGGTAAACTGATCCTCAGACTTTGCCTTTATAAGAACAAAGATACCTTCAACATTTGATAGGTCAGTGTTTTGAGTGTTGGAAGTCAAGCCTCATGATGCAAACTGCTTGTCATATTGGCCAGCCATAATTTAATATTGAAGGACTTGGAATGATATGCTGTGTAGCAAAAATATCTGTAGGATTTGAGGATTTCACAGCGGTGAGTCTGAAGATGGATGTCTTCTGGGTTGTTGAGCCATGTAGTCTGGTCGATGTTAACCAACGTTTCAGAGGTCATACAGCCTCCGTCATCAGGGCGATGAGTATGAAGATTTCTGTCTTCTGGGTTGTTGCGCCGTGTAGTCTGGTCGATGTTTACCAACGTTTCAGAGGTCATACAGCCTCCGTCATCAGGGCGATGAGTATGAAGATTTCTGTCTTCTGGGTTGTTGCGCCGTGTAGTCTGGTCGATGTTTACCAACGTTTCAGAGGTCATACAGCCTCCGTCATCAGGGCGATGAGTATGAAGATTTTTGTTTTCTGTGTTGTTGTGCTGTGTAGTCTGGTAGATGTCCACCAACGTTTCAGAGGTCATGCTGCCTCCATCATCGCCCTGATGAAATTTTTCCTTAATTCTTATATAACACATATGTTCATCCACCAAGATCAGCAACAAGGTGCACATTACGAGCGTCATGGAGACAATAAGGCTCATGCGGGAGGCCCAGCCCATTGTCTGGTGGAAAGCGCTCTGCTACCACTATGTGCGCCGCAAACGACAGGTCGTGCATACGCAGAGAGGAAGTGAATCGTACACAACCACACAGGTGTATTATGAACGTGTGAACTCACATGCTGCAGGCACCTGTTTCCTGTTTGCTTACTGTGGTATGCGAGACATCTCACACGACCTGTCATTGGAGGGTGGACCCATCACTAAAATACGCTTCAGTAAGGGTGAGTGTTAATGTTGGCAGTTTTTCCAGTCTGAGTAGTAAATTTCGATATAATTTCCATTCTCTGTGGGTGATTCCTGGCATAATGCCTCCCTTAAGGGGCACTGTTTTCCCTCAGGTGAATGTTGGTAGTCTCTTATCTGAGGGTTGCGTGCTGACACAGTCTTCTCTCTAAGAGATGAGTGCTGCCAGTCTTTCCTCTGAGAGGTTAATATTGATATTGTCTCCTTTCTAAGAAGTGTATTCAGAGTACTTACAGCTCTAATTTCACTCAGGGTTTGCTTTTGCCAATGTGGAGGCTGCTGCTGAATTTGAAGACCAGCGAGCACACTTCTTTGCAGAACATGAGCGATATGACGACTACATGGAAATGAGAGAGGGACTGGACCTCATGGGAGTCTCAAATTTCAAGGAGCATGTTGTGGCATATGCAAACTTGCCATGGTACTCAAACCATGTGGTATTTTGGATCTGCAGTTTCCTGTTGCTTTCATGGCCAATCAGAATCATCTTGGAATATAACACTGCATATGTTCATTATCAGGTAACTTTGAACTCTTCTGATTACATACTGTTTTGTTGTTCATGATTAGCCTTAGAAATGTGCATTCTGATGAGGACTGGGATCTGTTTCTCTGCAGGCTGCACTCATGTGGTTTTCACTGTCAGAAAGCTGTTCCTTTTATGCACACATGAAAATATTCCATACTGGAACTGTGATTATGTTAATAATTTGCAGGCATGACAAATTTAATGTGCCAGCTATTCAGTAAATGAACATCTACTCCATATGGGTGTAAAGTTTTCTCTTCAGTATTGATTTGTTTAGGCGTAAGTGTTTATAATTGATCCATCCATCACTTTAGAAGTCTGTTTAATCCATTTTTCCTTTAAGTTTTCACTGTAATGGTTGTTTCATCTTCCATTCTTTGAATGTGATCAATCCAGTAGCTATCCTTTTTTGTACACATTTAGTTTGTTTATATTTATGAAGTCTTTAAGGAGCTACATGCACAAAAATCGACATAATTAAATTACCTACTTTACGGTTTGTGGGCCTTATTTTGTTAAAATGGTGATATTTTAAAAAGCTTAAACATATTGTTTAAAGAAAAGATTTATAGACACATTTTACCAAAGAAAATCCATTAATGTTATGTTTAGCACTTTAAAATATAAGGAAAATGTAAGCTGTTATGACGACTTAGCAAAAATAAAAATTCATCTCACCTAGTGAAACTTGCAAAGCTGCAATCTTTCCTTGCAGGATGATAATGAATTCTTCATTGCTGAGTTTGTTTCTGTAATATCTTGCCTTCAGTCACATACCAAAACAATCTTGTTCCTATATTTATGTGCTTAGTCACTGACTGAGTCATTAAGTTAATCACAGTTTTCAGTGTCACATGAATATGCCCTAAACGAAAGGCCACTGTGAATGAGATTTGCATTAATGCAGTTTTGTGTGATACAATGTGAAAAACTGACCTCAGAGACATAAGGAGCACGCTTTACAATGGTAAACTGATCCTCAGACTTTGCCTTTATAAGAACAAAGATACCTTCAACATTTGATAGGTCAGTGTTTTGAGTGTTGGAAGTCAAGCCTCATGATGCAAACTGCTTGTCATATTGGCCAGCCATAATTTAATATTGAAGGACTTGGAATGATATGCTGTGTAGCAAAAATATCTGTAGGATTTGAGGATTTCACAGCGGTGAGTCTGAAGATGGATGTCTTCTGGGTTGTTGAGCCATGTAGTCTGGTCGATGTTAACCAACGTTTCAGAGGTCATACTGCCTCCGTCATCAGGGCGATGAGTATGAAGATTTTTGTTTTCTGTGTTGTTGTGCTGTGTAGTCTGGTAGATGTCCACCAACGTTTCAGAGGTCATGCTGCCTCCATCATCGCCCTGATGAAATTTTTCCTTAATTCTTATATAACACATATGTTCATCCACCAAGATAAAATCTATAATTGAGTTCCTAAGTCTTTCATGAACCAGGAAACCTGTTCCAAACAAATTCCTGTCATTATATCCACTACAACATATGGTGCTGATCACTATCAAATGTATCATTCCCCTTCCACCTCATCTCTTGTAGAGCAGCGATACATATTTTATACCTTTTAAGTTCCTGCATTTGATTTTTTAGAGTACCTGGTCTAAATAAACTTCTTACGTTCCATGTTGCCAAATTCAAATCAAAGGCCTTGTTTCGTTTCCATTGCCGTTTCTAAGGAGCAGTCTGGCTTAATTCTTTGTTCCTCTGAACAGTAGTTTTTTGTGAGGCAGGGTTGTCAAACTCCAACCTGGAGGACCAGTCTCCTTATTTATATTCCCCAGAGACACGGTGGCCCAGTTATACCCCCAGGCACTGGGTACCCATTTTAGTCGCCTCTTACGACACGCATGGGCTACGGTGGGACTATTCTTATTCTCCGGTCACCACATGGAGAAGACCAGTTTATAGCAGGTCATTTTAGGACTGGCACATCCAAACACATCCTCACATTAGAGCTATACAGTCTGGTAGATACATAGTGATAAATCAAAATTCCCATTGTGTATTCTCTGCATACACTGCACACTGAGGCTGTTATTGCAGGTAACGAAGCTGTTTGGGGTAAACTATGCAACACCCAGCAGCACAGTCGTGCAGTTGTCCAATGGAAGTACAATGGACAGTTCAGAGTGGAGCCAGGCACTTGTGCCCAGCTATTCAGAGGCTGTACTGATGGATGCAGTTTCAAACAACAATAATACAGTGGTGGCAAGTGCCTCGCAACTTCTGTTCTATCCTGGACCACTTGCAGACCATGTGCCAGCTGATCCCTTCCCACCACCAGAGTATGAGGAGGCACTGAGGCTACCTGCTCTCACTCGCCTGAAGCGGTCACTCACAGATCGTGGTGAAGACATGTTTCGACGCAGCAGGGAGAGGCGATGCTCCAGTGGTGTAGTGGTGCGTGTCAACATGGAGACAAGCTTGTAGTGGCTTGTATAGCTCAAAATAATCATGGCAAGTGAAATTGCTTTCTGTTTCTATTTTACAACTGAATTATCACATTTTCTAAACAGTGACATATCAATTTGCTTTTCACAGCATGAGGGCTTAACACAACTAGAACTGCGACAATCAGTGGCTTTCTGTATTAGCTTCTCTCATATCTCACAAGAAAAACATATGGGGATTGCCCCTCCTACCTTGTATGAACAAAGTATAATACAAAATGTCTGTTCATCTCCATGACTCAACTCCAAAACCTTATGACATACGAAACTTGGTATAGATCATAATTAAATTGTCAGGTAACTTGTGGTTCATTGGAGTTTCTATTCTTTCTGAACTCAAATTAATTTTTTCATAAATTTAATGAAATATAATACCAAAATAGAATATCTTAAATAAAGAATACATCATGTTGAGTGTAGCATAGAGAAGACAGAGGACATACTTTGTAATCTTTAATGTGAAATACCTTTCCTCTTCCGGGAGACGCATATTCCTCATTTTACAAAATTTACCTTACTTCTAAAATATAAGAACTTACACCTCTCATTTATTTTTTCTGTTCTTTCTTTGTTTATCAATATAACCACATTTTGTTATATAAAGCTTAATGTCATTATATGAAGTCTTCCTGGTATTGTGTGTTTTCTATTGAGTCCAACCCTAACCACTAATTGCCTGTTCTGTTAAATCTACTTAACTCTTACACAGGTGGCCATGGCCAGCAGACGACCTTCTGATATAAATGCTAGCAGCAACTCCACTGATATTTTTCAAAATGTTTAATGTCGTCTTACTACTTTTTGTACTTTTAATCTATAAAATGTTCCACAATATATTAATTAAATCATTGTACATATGTTATGTGAAGAACTTCTTACAGATGGAACAAGATAGCATTTATTGTAGATTCAAATTTTTAAAATGGCTAAGCATACTGCAAAACTGCATATCCAGCACCTGTAACCAGTGAATTAAAAAATGGAGTACTTATGGGTATGAGTATAAATTCTGGGAGTTAATTGTAACAATTTGCAATCTTAAGTAATTAATCATAATACACACAAAATAAATCCCTTACTCCAAACTTCAAATAAGATTCTATATATGGGAAAAGAGCTTCTCCCATATTAAGACACCATTAATCAAGCAAAAGCAATAACAAAATTTAATTTAAATTATGTGTGTGGACAGTCACAGTGCTGGTTCCACAATAGGCAGCTTCCGATGTGGAGGATGAATGGCAGGCATGGTATCTGGGGGTTCCGGTAGATCTACATAACAAACAAACAAACAAACAGTGAGGTAATGCTTCAACTGATCTTACAACTCCTGGAATCTACACCATTATTCAAACTTGGGGTCAGCTGGTAGTCAGAATCTCACCTGAAATGATGGAGAGTTTTGTCAGGTCTTGTTCCAGTGTATCCTGAGATACAAGCAGCTGTGTCAGCTCATCCTCCAGACCATCCTCTGCTTCCAAGGGCTGCGCCAATGTTGCCTGGATCTCACGGTGCACATCCAGCACCTGCAAGTTGGTTCATGACTAAATGTTTCATGTGATTAAATAGCCTACCCACTGTGAAACACCTCTGTGTTTTACCATTAAACATACTCTACAGGAGATAAACAATTTTTTTTTCAGTATTCTGATCTTGTAAGCATTGGATTGTCAGTGCCCGCTAGCTCAAATCATCCTTGGTTCAGATCTTTATACGTACTATTAATTCCTTCCTCCTTTAGAATATTAACTGAAGTATGTTCTTTCATAAAGAATTGTAAAGAATACAAGCACTCTTTAATTGATTTATCTGCAAGGTCAACATCAGTTTTGATTGGTTTTCTAAAATTATAACTTTTTTTGCCAAGACACCAAAGGTATTCCATGAGCTGGCTTCGAGAATCTGCAATTAAATATAGTTTCTGAAAAATCTACATCTCTTCTAGAACATTGTCTCATTAAACATGCTTTGTTTCCAGCTAGGTAGAATGGGATATATGTCAGAATTTAGTATCTTCCTATCTAGGGAAACAGTTAAATCTTCAAAAGTGAATTCTTGTCCCAAAGATGAATCGCTGAAAAAACTGCTTTCATTCTCTCATCCATAAGCACCAAAACTGATCAGCAATTTTTATAGCTTCATCATGTAAAATAAGAGAATGATATGCCTTGTAATTGTAATATAATGAGTCAGCTAGTGGTGGACACCTATGACAGTAATTGCCATCAATATTCTGAATACAATCTGGCATATGGCATTTGTCAATAAATAAGTTAATAATGCTCATCCAGTCTTCAGTCAATCGGCACATATTCCTTGCACAATGTTCCTCCTCTGTATCTTGTATACTGCACAGTATGGTTGATCTACTAAAATAAAGCATGAAACTCAAAGATGTAAATGATTCTTCTGTAATGTTTGAGATACTGATGGAATTATTTAATAAACTACAAATAAATACACTGTGTTGCATCCAAAAGAAAATTAACTGAAGATGATGACTAGTATCATAGTTATTTCTTGCTTATTCAAATTTGCGGGAAGCTACCCGTCAGTTCCAGGTCCTATTCATCAGCACCAAAATCAGCAACATTTCATGATAATGTGTTATAAATCAATTGCAAAACTCAATATGTTTTGATTACAATTGTCTCATTTTGTAACTTAAGAACGTTATCAATATGTTAATATTCCAATTACCAACATTTATAAATAAAAACAATAGTATTTTATGTTGAAGATTTCTGTCTTCTGGGTTGTTGAGCTGTGTAGTCTGGTCCAAGCATACTGTGCTCTCCTGTGGAACTTATCATACCTACTAGTATAACAGTGAACAATTCCACTATGCCCACATGAACAGGCTCCAGCCTACCAGGCATAATTCACGTCTGTCCCAGAGCTTTCTGAAGTGACCACATAATAAACATGAATGAATGAACTCACCTCTTCCACTTGGACCATGATATCAGCTGCACTGTCTTCTGTCAGTCCAGATCCCTTCAAGGTTGATTTAAGAGCTGCCACCCCAAGCTTGTAGGCCTCCAGAACCTGCAACCAGACACCATTATAACCTTGCATGACCATAAAGTCACTTCTTGCAACCTCTGCACATTCTTCTATCTTACCTTGACATCAGACTTGGCTTCCTGTAGGCGGGTCAGTAACAAGTGGATGTTGTCGAGAGCAGAAGTTCGCTTGTCCGTACAGCTGTCCAGGACATGCTTCTTCCTCAGGCAGTTCCGAGCCTGAACATAATCAAATACAATGCTTGTGCAGTTTTACAAGACTACAATAAATATTGTATATCATTTCCAATAATTTTAAAACACTTTATTGTGTATAGTTTAAATATTAGAATTATATTTTGGAATGTATGTGTATTTAGCATTATTTTGATGGGTTATATGTGTTTATAGAACCAGTGTTCTTTGTTTTTATAAGGAAATATAGGTGATTATATCAATGTTTATGTTTATATTCTCCCTAATAACTACTGAACCAATTCACTGACTTTCATGAAATGTTATGATCAATATTCCAATTTATACTTTTCATTTCCTTGAAATCAATAATACTAGCATGACAGTTGAATCATTTATCAGTGCTCAGTTTACTCACATGGGGACCTTCAAGACCTGGACATTATGAGACACCTGTGGAGGGACGGAGAAAATATCTAGACATGGCACACCTAGTTCTTTGGTAGGAAGAATTTATGTACTGTGAATTTAAAAATTAACCTCATACTCCTATTCCCCTTGTCAGTACCACCT